GGTGCTGGGGCAGGTCGAGCTGGTGGCTGGAACAGAGAGCGTTGCTCGGCCAAAGCTGTCTCCCTTTTCTCTTCCATCCTTCCTCTCTTTGGAGGAACGAGGGGATGGGTGACAGACCCAACGAGGGTTTTGCTGTCGTTGAGATAGGGATGTGATTAGACCTGAAGTGATGGATGCCTGGTGAGAAAAAGGTGACACTTAAAAATTACTGAAAACCCTTATAAATTGCTTTTTCCCCTAATAGATGACCATGGGTCCAGCTCTCTGTGGTGTAGGTAATGTGTGAGTGAGTTGTTCTATCAGGGTTTATAAGAGATGCTGTAAAATCATCTTGTAAGTATTTGAAAACCATTTGTCTGTCTCTGATGTGTCTTAGCACGTACAGGAATGCTCTGTTTGGGGAAGCGAGGTCCTTATCCTCATTTATCTCCAGGTACTTGTAAATGTTACTGTAATTTCATGTTATCAAATCATTTAGCTCTTCCTCTTCCAGAACGAGGTTATTTTATCTCAGGCGCCTTGTTTACTTCAAATTAGCCCTGAGGTTGGCCTGAAGTTGCACCTTGTTATTCCTCCACCTCCTGTCTCCGTCTTAGGCTCTGTTGGCAAATTTGGAGGTATAAGTAAATACTTTTTTGTTATTAATAGAATAACTTCCCCCTCCTACACACACGTTTTCTTTTCACTCCGCTCTTCGTTTTCCGTGAGAAACTGACATTGCAGTACAAGCGGAAACCTCCCAAATTGCCTGAAAACGCCTTAATTCTCCTAGCAACAAGGTCAGGGCTCAAATCCAGGACCTCTCCACGAGCGTGGGGGAAGCGGCCCTTCCAATTACCTGCTCCCCCTGCGGTACGGATCCGGTCGGTTCGTCGGCACCTGGGTTTGGGTGGATTTGAAACTCAGCCATGGTATTGTTTAAAAATTCTCCATTCATCGGGGAAGGGTTTGTAGTGGGCTGAGCCCTGAGAAACCCAGGGCTGGTTTTATGGCTTCCCATTGAAACCTGGTGGAACCCCGTGGTGTCGGCTGATTTCCCCCTTCCCCGCTCATGTGGCTTTGATCAAACCCAGGGCTCAGAGAACGACCCCCCCCAGGAACTGGAACCACTGAGCTTTGCCCAGTTCTGCTGTTCATTAAAGCGTTTGTGAGCTTCCAACTGCAAATGATAAAATTAGGACCTTTGTGCCTTGCCTGGCATGGGGATTGCCGGTCCTATGGCAGAGCTGGCTTTGCCCCTGTATAGGGCACATGTATAGGGAACACAGACCCTGGATGAGCATGTTTGATGCAGAAGTCATTGGGGACTTACCCGTGGTAATGAAACCCTTTAGGCAGGATGGTGCACTCATGATTTTAGGGTAAAAGCCACCTATTGTTTGCAGCGATTGAATTGAAGCTCTGCTAAAGGTCTTAAGCCAGTGAGGGATGGCTGGTCCTGGAGACTGGCCAAGACGAAGCTGTTCCTGTGTTGTTGCCTGCGTGACTCCAGCTTGGATTGTTGGGCCCGATGGTTCCCACCTTGCAACTCCGTTTGTAGCCCTTAGTTGGGGATCAGAGGTGCGGGCAAGCCTGAGCCAGCTCAGCCCGGGGGGCTTCCCTCCTGTCCCACCATCCCTGCCCTTCCCACAAACTCCAAGCTCCACTGTGATTGTTCAGAACGTTTCAGGAAGGCTTCTCTAGGGAAGAGGAGGCTGACCTGGTCTTGGGGAAGGGGTGGTAGGTGTGAGGCACTGGGCTCCTCGCCCCGGCTGTCATGCCCAGGGGAGCCCCAAGCAGAGCCGCTGCAGCCTGGGACTGACCATCACTGCAGGTGCTGTGCTGGTCGCAGTGCTGTGGCTTTCCTGTGTCCCCAGGGGTGGGATGGGGGAAATGGCTAAAGGCTGAGAGGGTCTGACGCTGTTTAATTTGCACGGGCAGAGCTTACTAGTAAGCATGGCAGTAAGCACAGGCCTGCAGTACTGAAAACCTCATGATTTGACTTCAGTGGGGAGGTGGATCGGGCTAATACTGCGATGGAAATCCTTCCTTTGGCTTTGCTGAGCATTACAGTAAGTCCTGTATGATGCTCCATACTGCTCTTATCCCTGTCCGGAATCCATAAAACACCCAGAGCCAAGAAAACATCCAGGGCTGCCGTGAGCCCATATCTACTCCCTAGTATCTTTTGACTCATAAGACAAAGTGCCGGTGCACACAACGTTGTGTGATGTTCTAGATGTAGCACCAGTTAAAGGACAAAATGTATTTTCTGACAGAAGATTAGAGGTGAGAAGGATTTCCTCTGTGCCCAACCACTTAAAGATGCTGTTGTGTGATGCTGCAACTCCCTCCGGTGCTGGGTGTGCTGGGTCAACCGGGGTCCCGAATCCACCCCAAGATTCACGCGCTGCCCAGTTCGAAGTCCAGCCCCGGGTCTGTTAGTCCAGATGTCCAGGCTGAGATGAACCCTGTGTTGGTGGGTTGACCCTGGCTGGATGCCGTGTGCCCACCAAAGCCGCTCTGTCACTCCTGTCCTCAGCTGGACAGGGGAGGGAAAATACAACGAAAGGCTCAAGGGTCAAGAGAAGGACAGGGAGGGATCGCTGACCAGTTACTGTCATGGGCAAAACAGGCTTGACCTGGGGAAATCAGTTTAATTTATTATCAGTCAAATCAGAGTAGGATAATGAGAAATAAAACTCAAATCTTAAATCACCTTCCCCCGACCCTTCCCTTCTTCCTGGGCTTAACTTTACTCCTGAATTCTCTACCTCCTCCCCTCCAGCGGCGCAGGGGGACGGGGAATGGGAGCTGCGGTCAGTTCATCACACAGTTTCTGCTGCTCCTTCCTCCTCAGGGGGAGGACTCCTCATACTCTTCCCATGCTCCAGGGAAGAGGAGACAGTCTTCTGCAAATTTCTCTGATGCGAGTCCTCCCCACGGGCTGCAGTTCTTCCCAAACTGCTTCAGTGTGGGTCCTCCCACAGGATTCAGTCCTTCAGGAACAGACTGCTCCAGGTGGGCATCCACCTACTCCAGCATGGGGTCCTCCATGGGCTGCAGGTGGATCTCTGCTCCACCATGGACCTCCACAGGCTGCAGGGGCACAGCCTGCCTCACCGTGGTCTTCACCATGGGCTGCAGGGGAATCTCTGCTCTGGTGCCTGGAGCACCTCCTGCCCCACCAACCTTGGTGTCTGCAGGGTTGTTTCTCTGCCATATTCTCACTCCTCTCTCTGGCTGCTGGTGCTGCACAGCAACTTTTCCCCCTTCTCACCTGTGTTATCCCTGAGGCGCTACCACCATCGCTGATGGGCTCAGCCTTGGTCAGCTGTGGCTTCTAGCAGCTTCTCCCAGACCCACCCCCGTACCCTCCGGCTACCAAAACCCTGCCCCGCAAACCCAGTACACTCTGTTTGGCCAAAATCTCGAACCAGCGAGTGGCTGGGGAGCTGGTGGCCCAGGCCAGTGACGGGAAGGTGGGTTTGCACTAGGCTGCGCTTCGGAGGGATGGCGATGGGATGCCACTCCGGCACAGGAACGGCCCTTTCCGCTGCTGATGTCACTCAGCGATGCGAGTTGGAGCCAAGCCTGGGGTGTGCAACACGGTTCCAAAATAAAGGGCTGGATTCCGGGACTGGAGCGGGGTCGGGGCCCTCGATGCCCGCGGCACTCCCAGCCTGTCCCCGGAGCTCCACACGCGGTTTATTTGCCGGGTGTCGCACCCGGGATGCTGCGGGGCAGAGTTTTCAAAGCCCTGAGAAGGCTTAGACTAAGGCTTGTAATGGTTTCAGTGGGATTTGCATAGTTATGGGTGCAAACCCATAAGATATTTTGGAAAACATATCGAAAGTGAGTGGTAGAAGTGGCAATGCTGTTGCTTGGCCTGTATGAGATTCTGATTTTTTTATTTTTTTCTGATTAAGTATGGTATTTCCCTAGCACGAGTTCAATTCATCCTCCTTTCCTCATGGAAAAAGCGAAGCTGAATGTCTTGCTTTGCTTGCAGTTGAAGGAGCTGGACTGGCTAAACTTAATGGTTGTCTTTGAAAAATCTTCCTCTCCTTGGATAGGAGTGTTTTTAAAAAAAATGAAATAATGACCTCATACTTTTGTGCTTTTTTAAAAATTCATTTCTATTTCAGCTGATGTTTGTTATGGCTCCTATTAACAGTGTTTGAACCAAAAAAACAAGGTCCAGATGTCATGATTTTATTTATGCCAAATTGGGTTTTGGTCACTGAGCTTGCATTTGGATAATGAATTTTATTTTTTTTCCTCCTTTTTCAGCCCGATGGCACCAGCAAGGAGTGTGTCTTCATTGAAAAAGTCCTAGAAAACAACTATACGGCACTGATGTCAGCAAAATATTCCGGCTGGTATGTTGGATTCACCAAAAAAGGGAGGCCACGGAAAGGGCCCAAGACCCGGGAAAACCAACAAGATGTACATTTTATGAAGAGGTACCCAAAGGGGCAAGTGGAGATACAGAAACCTTTCAAGTACACAACAGTCACCAAGAGGACTAAGAGAATACGACCCACCAACCCCAGTTAAAAATAGACAAAAAACAGTGTCACCATAATAAACCACAAAAAAAAAAAAAACTGCACCAGAGGAATATTTTTACATTAAAAAAAAAAAAGGAAGAAGCTCTATTTTTGTACATTGTGTTTAAAAAAAAAAATAAAAATAAAAAAAATTAATAAAAGACTAGATGGCAAACGCTGGGGAAAAGCTGTTAGGGATTTATTGTGACTTGAAAAACAGAATGAACTGCTCTATTTAAATTGACTTCTTGTTGTTGATGACACACAGGTGCTTATTTCGCTTTTCTGGAAAGGACAACTTTTCAAGCATATCCCCAGAGGAAAAAAAAAAAAGTAATTATTAAAACTAAATAAATAAAGCCAAAGAAAACCAAAGTTCTTTCCCAAAGTTACTGAGACCCTGCCCCGAAAAGTGCCGGTTTTGCAGTAATCTATTTATTGTCTGCTGCACGCCGGCCCGAGGCAAGATGGTGTGTGCCGCAGTGATTGAGTTTCCGTGGAGTTCTCGACGCATCGATCTTCTGTAACCTTTCTGACGACATAAGGTGTCACGGCTCCGTGATCCTGCATTATGCTCAGTTCTGGAGAATGCTGCTAAATACATTCAAGTGACTACAAGATGACCTAGTACACCAATGATAAGGGAATATTTTAAAACCAGCTATATTATATATATTATATATATATAAGCTATTTATTTCACCTCTCTGTATATTGCAGTTCCATGAACCAAGTATTACTGCCTCAACAATTAAAAAAATTATTTAAAACACATGTACATACTTTTGCTGTTCACGCTTCTTTCCCCTCCCTGAGTAGTGGCTTTTTAATGCATATTTGTCTTTTATGTGAGGGCAGGGGATATGTTCGGGGTAGTTTCCCCGCTGTAAATGTCTTTGCTAATTCTGTAATTCCTCCTTTTCCTTAATTCCATCTTCCTCCTCCTCCCTCGGTGTTCCCATAGGGAAGAAATCCTGCGTGGGGTGATGGTGGGCTGAGAGTGGGGGAATCCGCGCTGACGTTTTTCAAGAGCAGGAGTTAGATTTGATGTTTTTCAGTCCAATGAGTAGTTCCTAAAGTTTTGGCCGAGCAGAAGGTAAACTGGAAAATGAACATCTGGCTCAATTCACACATACTTACGTGTGGCTTGTGTTTCCCTCACTGGAGGTTTCAAGAGGGGCTATTTGTTTCAGCTATTTAATTCAATATTGTATCTTTTAAAACTTGCCCTAGACTGACCAAATTCCTCCTCCTTGCCCCACGTAGCTCTCCCAGCCCTTCGGGGCCTTGCTGTCCTCGTCAGGCCAGCCAGCTTTCCTCCCAGGTCTTCTGCGTAGGACTTGGACGATGTAAAGCCTCAAGGTGTGAACCTGTCTATAGGCACTGACCCACATGGTGGGTCGGGTGAGATGGCGTTAAACAAGGAGGAGCGGAAAAGAAAGACGATGGAATAACTGACCTGAAATTTTAGCTGAAAGGACAACTGAGCCCAAGTGAAGCTTCAAGGAGAAGCTGGCTTGACTTTTTCCTCCCCTCTGTGTGCAGACGTTGCTACGCTCCCTGGTTCCAGCCAAGGCTGAAAATGCTCAAAGCCACTAAGAAAGCTTTTTCTTGTTAATCAGAAGAATGACTCTCCCCAGAACAAGCTTTCTCAAGATAAGTTTGAGAGCTGCAGCCAAATCCGGCAGATCAAAGCCGTTTGGGAGATGGCGCAGATAAGCATGCAAGCTTGAGGATGCTTATCTGAACCGATCTCCAAACCTCGCAAGCCTAGAGAAAAATGAACAGTTCTAAATAGGGTTGCTTCGTGCTGCTCCACGAAAAGCTGGACAGCCTTACAGGTGATGCCTTCACCCCAGCTAAGCACGGGTGGGCACTCGAGCAGCCCCTCTCCCAGTGAATATGCTGGGAGCTGCTCTCGTGGCGCACCTGGAGATCAGCACGGAAGTGGGACCTGGTGGCACGGTTGGTGGGCGCTGGAAGGCTTTGCCAGCTTTGCCTTCAGATTGATTCATGTGGGAGAGATTTGGGGAGAGTTCAGAGGAGTGCTGGGGGTGGGGGATTGGGAGCGTCTGGAGATTTGCTGTGTTAATGTCTCCGAGAGGAGAAACCCAGTTGATTTCCAGAGTGAGAAAGGATTTATGGGTGCCTTTTTTTCTCCTTGAAATATCACCATGGCCCACGGCATTGACAGTTTCACTATCAGAACGACAGGGCTTGTTTGCCATTGGGGAAATTCAAAGGAGTGGAGGCGGTAAATGCTGTAGAAGGTCGGGCAGAAGGGATTTCCTGTGAGGCCAAGAGCAACCAGGGAGGATCTGCTGCCTGTCCTGCAGTGCCCTCTGGGTTAGGAGGCTGGCACGTGGGGGCTAGTGGCCATGCAATTGTCACTGGGGGCTTCTGGCACTTGTGTCGGTGGTTTACAAGAATATTTACTGGACGTGGATTACTGTTCTAGTGGAAGGTGTCCCTGCCTGTGGCAGGAGGATTGGGACTAGATGATCTTTAAGGTCCCTTCCAACCCAAACCATTCTATGATTCTATAACAGCAGTGAGACAGGTTCCTTGGGCTGTAAAAACTCAGCACAGTGAGGAAATACGGTGCTCACCTGGGTTAGGTGCCGTCAGAGAGATGTATTGGCTGAGAATGGTGTGCATTGAGTATTCGTGTTTGAACATCTGCTCTTCAGGCTTTATTAACAAAAGCAGGGGCAAAGATGAGAAGCATTCACACCAGGTTCCCTTCAGAGCACCTTCACGTTTAGGCAAAAGGGTGCTCTGGGCATGAACAGATGAACAGAGAGAGGGGATGTCCATCACGTGCCCAGCGAGGGATGGCTTTGTGCTTGCACCCACCAGGGACCAGGTGTCTCTGTGCCTGGGTTTGTGCTTGGTGGTAAGGCCAGAGGTTGTTAAATGGTTGTCAACATCCCTGTTGGACAAGTCTCTCTGCTGACCTCTAGACTGAAGCAGCAGCTTGTCTGCAGTCTTTAGCGTTTCCTCCTTTCAGAAAGTCTTCGGGGTCCCTGAATATGAGCTGAGATTCCCCGTGTAGGCTATTGCATTTGGTTTACTTTATAACTGAAAACTGTTAATGAGGATTTAATGACTATTGTGGAAATAACCTCAACAGCGAGAGATGTAACGCTAGGCGATTGATTGAAGCAACTGTGTGTGGAACATTAATGTGTGTGGAGCTCCGGTGGGCACCCTTTAAACAAATACACTGCTTAACTGGACTTAATAAAAGCATATTGTAGCTACTGTTTCAGGAATACTGCTAGATTTGTAGCAATGTTTTCATAGCGGGGATCAGAGAGTGGCGTGCTCTGGTAACACCATGGTTGACTTTGTCATGAAGCTGCCGGGCACGCCGCAATGTGAGTCCATCCCAGTAGGGAAGCTTTGCAGGTCCAGCAAAGTTTCCTGTCAACACTTTGAGTGTGTTGCACAAACCAGGCTGCTGTTTGGTGAGACCTTCCGGGTGGTGGGTCTCGCATGCTGTTCCTGTGACGGTGAAGGGTTGGCAGTCAAAGCTCAGTTGGGCTCTGTGTCTGGACAAAGTAGAACAAACCTTTCATCATGGCATTGCTGTGACCTGTGTGGGGCTTACTGCTGGCTGAGAAGACAGTGTGTCTTGGTCTCTGTGCAAGGTGTCTTCCAGCTCACCAGGGACCTTTCCTGGACCACAAAGAGCTGTCAGTGAGTGGAAGCGGTTGACCAAGTTGATGTCCCTGCAGCTGGAGCCCTGAAGCTGGCATGGTCTTTCCTGCTCAACAGCTGGTAGTTTTCTTCTGCCTCTGCCTTGTTGATGCAAATGCAAGTGTCATTGCAGGCTCCACACCACAAAGCTGGGCAGTTGCTGCACCTGGTCTGCCCTATTTGAGCTTCATCTGCCTCTCTTGCCAACGGTTGGCTTTTGGCAACATTTCTTTCGGGAGCAAGAGCACATGAAACTTGGTGCTCGTTTTCTTGGCCTGTCCTTGCAGTCTTGTTTAGCTCAGGATCATTTCCATGGTTCTGGTTCACAGGGTCACAGTTAAAGATGAGCTTTTTGCAGATGTGAAGCAGCAGAGAAGCCCCCTCCAGATGCACATTTGCAGTTTTAGCTGTGACCTTCTATGGGCAGGAGAACATTGCACCTGCCCAAAGGTGCAACCTACCTATGCAGAGGAATTGATCCCTTCAGCTGCATCACCTCTTACATGCCAGTGTGTTTGATATGTGTGCAATTAATATTAGCTTTTGGGAGCGTAGCTGAAACACCCCTCCAATAAGTGTCACAAGGTGAGGCAAGGTGAGGAAGAAGCAATTGGGACAAAAATAACGAAGTCTGGCGGAGGGTTGCTGCCCTTATGCTCAGTGATGAGAAGAAAAGACCAAGTTTTTACTTGACTTCTGGAGTTAAAGCCATAGCCTAAGTGAATAGGATGCTCTAGTGCCCGTGAACCCGGTGTGTCTGTAGGGAGACTCACATGGGAGTGGAGCAGAGCTTGGGGAGGATCCCAGAAAACACTGTGAGGCCCAAACTTGACTCGCCCCTGCCAGCTGCACTGCCTCAAATCATCTCGGTCTTTGCAATAGCTTATTTACCTTGACTGGCAGAAACACGGCAAGGTGGAAGTTAGGTCTGGTTTAAGCAAACGCCCAGAGCCTACACCAGCTCTCGGAGCAAGGCTTGATGGGTACATGCATTGTGTTACACACAGTGTTTTGCCCAGTGGATGCCCATCAGCTTTCCTGGATTCACTGGGCATGTTGGTGTCTTTGTGCTTTCACAAAAGCAGCGGAACGACATTTCAGCCAGGACCTTGGCCTCCAGCTGGAGAAGATGGTCTTGTCTGGAGAAGTTTGTCTTGTCTAGAAGAGTTTGTCCACCAAGGGAGATCTGACTCTGAGCCAACGGAGTTGGCGCTAGGCGGATAGGCTTAGTAACAGAAAACACACGTGAATTTGGCTCTAAGAGCATGCTACCTTTGACAAATAAGGTTGTAATATGTGAAAAAGTGTGCGTGGAGTGCACTTTTTCAGGGCACTGAGT